AGATAGATAGATAGATAGATAGATAGATAGATAGATAGATAGATAGATAGAATTGAATTATCTATACAGAAACAGGCAGGGGCACGTGTTTGCCTATTTGGATATGTAAAGATCCTTCCAGCCACAACATGACATCCAAACACAAACATGAGACATGGCGTGCTGCACTGCCAGAGGGTTCTTATACACTGGGATTTCAATGAGCTGTTTGAAGCCAAAGGCTTGAATTGAGAGACTGCCTGCGTCACCCTGATGGTGCATGGATCTGTGTAGTGATTTTCGCCTGAGGTGCTCTTATATTGTGAAGGAGGATGCTTGCAAGCTGGAAACTAACAGGGAAACATATCAGGCCACAACTCTACATAGCAAAAAAAATAAGCACGGAAATTAGCTGAAGTGTGCCTTAATAAAATTAGGATTGACTTTTTAGCCTTTGACTCACACCCGTTCACTCACACTCTAAATCCTTTCTCTGTTAACTTTGCTACCCAGTTCTTTGCCCTTTCTACATAATTACAAAAAGTCACTCCCCTTTCTACCCCTGCACTCTAAAATTCATATATCACTTGCTACTGCCCCATAAACATCAACAATAACTCTTCATAGGAGCATATTGCGATATCATGACATCCTCTACATTAGTGATGAGTTTCCATTTATACATTTTCAGCTCAATATTTCGTTCTATCAGCAGTGAGATCTACACTTTATTGATTAAAATGTTAGAACTGAAATATTTCTTAAATATTTATGATGTTAAAAACCTCCCTGTCTAAATGGCCTTCAGGTACCCAAATGATTTATACAAGATGGCATAATTTGATGCTTTTGATAAAAGACATGCCATAAGGACTAGAAGACCTTCAGCTCTGGCTAGACTTCTCATCAACTGAGCCTGTCGCTTTGGCTAAAGTCCCAAGTCTGAGGTCTGGTTGGCTTGCTATTATGGTTACGTAAGTGTCAGGGAAGCGCCATATGGGAAACTCATAGGGGATGAACGTGTGGGTTTAAATCTCTATACATGTCATATATCTCTATACCTACTTAGTCCTTCTGCGTCACTACTTTTACAAAGCTAAGCTAAGTAGTATTAAACACAGAGGAACTGAGGGCAAGTGAATAATAGTATTAAACAATATCAAATTGTTTACTATGAAATTATGATTAGAAAAATACCCAAAGGATCCTGTTGTGGATCATCAACAATGGCACTTAATGTTAATGACTTTCCATCTTTAAATATTATCATTGCCAGCTCCTCTGGACAGAAGATTAGCTCTGATGAAATAGAGATGCTCCTAGGCATGCTGTGTTGCAGACAAAACATGATGTGACATTAAAAAATTTAATCTTTAAATCAACCATGTTTTAAGAATATTTTTTTATCTACTAGGTTCCCTTAAGGTCATCTTTTTGAGCAGAAACATGTTCCCATACCATTTGTTCTCTTCCGATACTATTCCCACATCTGCATGACTGTCGTATGATTTTTAATGTGGTAAGGCCAGGCTGAGGTTAAACCCTTGAATGGAGCCATCTCTAACAGGTGCCAGGTGAACAGTGCAACTGTTTAAAAGTGGTGAAGAAGAACTGTGTAGGAACTAAAGGAACTAGATAGTAAATGTATCGGATCGGTGCCTGGACTCCATTACTCACAGATACTGATGCCAGCATTTTCGGTAGTATCTGAGAAAGTTACGATACCGGTATCAGAATAAGAACATTTCTAATTAGCTCATTTACTTCGTTACAAACTTGAGGGACGTTTTCTTAAGGTAAAATGTATCAACTTTCAAGGTAAGAATGCTTGTAGACTGACACCAGCACTTTCTACAGAGCTTCAAACAAAAGACAAAGTATGAGAAACCAACCAAATATTGCAATTAGCTTTTTTGATTATTAAGTCGTATGCTATTTTTGTATCTCCTCTTGACCTAAATAATTAGATGTCAGTTCAAAAGCTATGCACACTAAACTTTAATAGTGCACTTGCAATTTTTTTTTCACATCATAAACATGTCACATTCTAATCCTAGACTTCAGTGTATCCCACTGGGATGGACCAAGGCACATCACTAGATAACATGAAACAAGTGGAACAGTAAAAGTAAAATTCCAGTACAACTATGTTTGTGAGAAGTGACCTAATAAGTAGATATTGCAAGGCAAAAGGCTGTCCACCCAAGTCAACAACCTAGAAAGGCAAGTGTTAAGGTAGCTTTGGTGCAGATGCAGAGAAAGACAGCTCAGGTGTGAAGCAAGAATCTAATGACAATAAATCTGGCATTTGTGGAAGAAGGCAAATAAATTTATGCTAAAAAAAGAAAGAAAGAATGTAAACCATAAAAAAAAATGTATATTCACCACAAAGCATGTAGGGGAAACATTGATGTGGAACCAAGTCCAGTGGATTGTTTTTAAACTTTTACAGAATGACTATGACCTGGATGTCTTCATCAGCATATTGATGTGGAACGGCTTATCCTATTAGCTAAGACAAAACTTTTTGAGAAAAAAGGCAAATAATTATGTTTGAAAGGAAACACATTCTTCCCAGCTCCCTGTACATACTAATCTCCACTGTAAGAAAACAGTAAAGATTAAACCTTAAAAAAAAAAAAGTTGTTTAAAGAATTAGCATTATAATTTCTTAATGTATGGGAATATTTTGACCAGTATTAGCTACTGAAGATTTTAGTTTGATTATTTTTTATTAATGATATCAGGTATAGCCAATACCTGGACACGTGTTACAACAACAAAACCAACTGATAACTTTTTTATAAGGGTTTTGCTTTAATTTGAGATTTAAAACTGTTTATATTATCTTTTAGCTGTTTTATTACAAAAACGTTCTGGTACATTTTTTCATTTCCCATATTGCAGCTTTGAGAATTGGCCAATACTGATATTGAGCTGATACGATATTAGCATGAATCATATCAGCTTTTAATACTTATTCTATAGTGTAGATTGTTAGAAAAGGCTTAATCAAGAACTATTACCGTACTAAAAGAGGGAACAACAATAAAAGGTATGAAAACAGCTGACCCATGTAAAACTAGGCAAGGAGTTACAGAAACTTTTAACAGAAGCAGACCATTTCTATCAGCACGAAAATATAGGAGATTTTAGATGTTGGTCGGTAAAATCCGTTATTAGTTTTTTGGCTAATATTGGACTGATATCCAATATTAATATAGGATTGAGACATCACTAATAAGTTCACCATAAATATTCAGCAGTCAGGACAGTAGGAATCTTGCAGATATGCCTGCTGCTGCTACTGCTGAGCATCTATGGTTGGATAAATGCAACTACAAGCAGTAGGATTTAGACCTCAGGTATTGTTTTTTGCATTACTAATTATGTTTACATTTGGCTTAAAATGTTTCTTGTGAGTTTTTTTCGGTAAAGTGTCAAACGGTGCTTTCAAATCTGACATCCTTCCTTCTTTCTTCACCCTCACTGTAGCTGAGAAGGACACTTTCACTTCCCTAAAAGCAGACTTTACCCTCTGCAATACCTTTTTATGTGAAGACTGTCTTTGTCAAGCTATATTCAAATAAAAAATAAAATAAAAATAATAAAAAGAAATAATAATAATAATGGGTCCAATCCAAGGGCTTGCTGCCATAACTGAAAAGAAAAAAACTGGGGGGAATGCAGTTATTCTATTAAAAGTTGTCACTCAAGAGAGGGCTCAAATGTATAATTATAAGAAAATTAAAGAAAAATAATTTATATTTTTTGCTCATGCACTACTCTGTGCTGCTCTGTAACAGAAATTATCAGGAAAACACAATGAATTTTATTTTTGTAATATGACAAACTGTATAAAGTAAATAAACTTTTGCAAAGTCCTTTACTAAAATATTAGTTCCTAAATTTAAAGATAAAGAGTAAGATAGATAGATAGATAGATAGATAGATAGATAGATAGATAGATAGATAGATAGATAGATAGATAGATAGATAGATAGATAGATAG